CTTCATTCTTTGCACAAGCTGATTCCACATTCAAATTCTGTCCAAATGAAATACTAACAGTATGTACCCATAAAAATAAAATTTCAAACCTAGAACAACAGGCATGTTAGGAAAAGGTCACATTAAATTTCCCATAGAAAGCATTATCTGTTCAGGTCTAAAGGTCAACAACATTTGAATCAACATTAAAACTGGAAACGAAAATTTCACGCCCCATAGTAGGATCAGTCCACATCACAAAATATTTGAATCTGTTGCTGAAGTGTCTTTAGTTTCCTTTAAGTTATAAGGAATACTATGGCATTTGTAAATAATAGCAGCTGGAGTTACATAAACATACATAGGTTGAATTAATTTTTAAAAATAAGGATTAAAAGGGATAGATGAGGACGACATGGTATTTGAAAAACTTTTAAGGGAAAAGATTGGTAAACTGGAAAAATTTGTCATCCTTGACCCTATAACTTAAAACATTTTTCCAATTTTTTCTCATACATATCTTTAATATACACCTATTTAAGATGATATCACAAGTGACAGTACAGAATTATATGTAAAATCAGGATAAATGCATCTTGAATTCCATCTAGATAAAAGGAGAGCCCGGTGCGGTAGCCTAGTGTCTAAAATCCTCGCTTTGCATGCGCCAGGATCCCATATGGGTGCCAGTTCTAGTCCCGGTGGCCCCACTTCCCATCCAGCTCCCTGAAGCAAGGAACCAGGAGCTTCTTCCAGGTCTTGCACTTGAGTGCAGAGCACATGGCTTTGAGGCATTCTCTGCACGGAGCTGGACAGGAAGTGGAGCAGCCTAAGCACACACTGGTATACACACAGGACACTGGCACAGAGTCAGTGGATTAGCCTGGGACGCCACCATACGAACCCCAATATTCCCAGGCTTTTAACATAAAGTGCCTTTAACAATATCATATTTGCGTTTAATCCTCTTTTCTTTGGACAGAATTTTCCTAAAGCATTTATCACTACCATTCCCATTTGTCTTCTGAAATCAGCCTGCTCTTTTTCTCTCTAGAAACAAAATCTACAATACGCAGCAGACCCACTTAACGAACATTGACTATACTATTCTGAATTAACATTTTCTTGAAATTTTATTTACCATGAAATAGTTCATGCGTTGATGTGTTATTCTATATGACCTTGTTCACAAACATCCAAAAAAGATGATTGCTTTGTGGGAATTGTAAAGTGAGAGGTAATAACAATAAGGCAGGGAAGGAATCCAACATACACATCACGCAAATGGAAGAATGCATAAAGAGTGAGCAGCCAACATTCGCCTGACAGAATGGGGACTGCATGCACTCAACACGTTTTGTGGCCGCCTGAAGTGTGTAAGGCACTCGACCGAGCAGGTTGGCGATACAAGTACTAACTTCACATAATCCTTGATTTCAATGGTTGACTTTGTATGTCACACTCCAAGTGGCTGTAATGACTGGAACTGAGCCGATCCGAAGCCAGGAGCCCAGAGCTTCTCTGGGGTGCCCATGTGCTTACAGGGTCCCAAGGCTTTAGCCCGTCCTCTACTGTTTTCCCTAGCCACAAGCAGAGAGCTAGAAGGGAAATGGAGCAGCTGGGACACAAGCTGGCACCCATATGGGATCCTGGAACATGCAAGGCGAGGACGTTAGCCACTAGGCTACCACGCTGGGCCCCAAATCTGTAGATTTTGAACTCACAACTACAATGTCAACTGTTATCTAATTTTCCTGTCTGCTGGCCAGTTGTACAAATTCTAGAATTCATACTCATCCCCACTTTTGTGAGAAAATTATTTCAAATAAATATTGCTACATGAAGGAATAGAAATGGAGAGAGGAAATACTGTCCTATTGTTTTTGTTATGGAACCTTGATATAATTTTATAAATCAAAGTTTACATGCAGTGAAATTTAGCAAGTAATAGCTTTACATTACTGAAGTGGATATTTGTCTTTTGTTTCCCAGAAAACACAACAAAATAAAGTATAATGATAAAATGTTGTGTTCCTTGTTAAATATAAATAAATATAAGATTTCTAGAGTTAGCCCACATGTAAGAAGACAGTACATTTTCAGGAACTTCAACTTAGGAATTTATATGATATAGATTATTTTAAAAAAAACCTGAATTCCTTTATTTATTGGTTGATTGAAAGAAGGAGAGAGAAAGAAACAAAAACACTCCCATCTCCTGTGTTGTTTACAACACAGTCGGAGGTCGGATTGGGCTGAGGTTAAAGAGTCACAAATGCAATTCATGCCTTCATCACTTGAACTGCTGCCTACCAGTTCCTGCATTAGCAGGAGGCTAAAGTGCAGGGAACTGAACCCAAGGACTTGGATACAGGATGCAGTTTTGTTCACTGCTGTTTGACCCGCAGGTGGAACTGAATGCCCTCTCCTGTGTCACTTACCCTAGCTTTCTCACAGTTGATACACACAAGGCTTCACAGACTGAAAGAAAGGACCGCCTTTCATCATGAATGCTTGGCTTCCGTCTACTCTTCAATTTTTTCCAACTACTGTTTAATTTTTATTCAAATGGCATATATATATTTATTTCTGACTTGTTCCTGAATATGTGCTATGGATCTTCATTTTTCTTCCATGTGTAATATTTGTAGGGAGAAAAAAAACTTGATTCTACATGTCTATACTTCTCTTTGTTTTAGACGGATGTCTAAAACATATATGTTTTAATTCATAAAGAGAGAAATTCATGCAAGTAAAGTTCACATACAAATTTTTGTTGTTTTAGTTTTAGAGTCAACTGGTTCAATTAACCCATCCAGAGATGGCCTTGAAACACCTGTTCTTGACGGCTTTAGCCACACAACACTGACTTGGTAATGACCTGTGGATAAGCACAGCTGCATTGCAATAGGAACATGCCTTAGTCTTTGAATCAGCATGAGAAATGCAAGGCAAATTTTTGTAACCAATAGTATAAAATTTGCAGGTTATCTTCATTGCATTAGAGACTAAAGTCTCAAATCGTGTGATATAATCAAGTCATTGGTGTCATTTAGCTTCAAAACGTTGGTTCGACTGGATCCAGAAACAACTGTCTGCAAAATCAACTTTGCTTTGATGAAAATAATCATTTTGACACCATGTTTCCTATATTGGCAGGTTATACTAGATTTATCACTCGTAATTACATAAACACATGAGTTTAATGTAAAATTAAATCAATTGCTCTGTCATAAGCAATCACGACACCAAGCCCCCAAACAGTATTTTGAATGCAAATGCCAGACGTCAGACACCATCCACTCCCACTCTCCAGCTTCCTTTAACATAAAGGATCCCCGTCTGTCTTTGGAAAGCATCTGTACTTCTTACTAAACTTAGCTCCATGAAGTGAGGGAGTGATATAAAGTTGGCCTTTAAAGGTTCTAGTCACTCAACTCATGAGGTCATTTGCTTCTCCGATGGAAAACATACTGTGTTGTCTCCAGAGATGTATTTTTGGAGCTTCCAGACCCAGGCTGGAGAATTTGATGCTGAGGACAGAAAAGGAATTCCCACCTGCATGTATCCCCTAATTGGAATGATACTCCCTTGGCCATTATAAAGATTTTCTGAAGAATACAGCATCATCCTAATCCTCCGGTTCAACCCACCAGCGCTTCCAACCAAGTGGAAATTTGGACAAGAGGTGAACATACAACTCTTGGTCATCAAGCCTACAAGAACCTTCACTCCTGTCCCCATGGAGAGCCTCTGAATGGAGCATCAGGTGCCTAAGGCCATGTTCTACGCCACTGATCATCACTTCCGTTCCATCATCCCGCAGTTTGTGACAGGCTTTCTGTACTTTGGGCGATGGACCCAGCTTGGGAAGGTTTCTGTAGCCACACCCAAACCAAGTTTTGAGGTTGCTCTGCATTACTAACCTGTGTTTCTATTTATGTTTTATTCATGTGGTTATTTTACCTTACTTAATATAGACTTAATGAGGTACAGTTCCTGCTCTCCAGATGAGTCAAATGAATTAATTAAAAAAAATAAGGGTACAAAAATAATATCGCATGTACACTTATAATGTTTGCATGCTTGTAGTTGAAGCTTTAGAAACAAAGGGACTTTAATACTTCCATTGACTTAGTCTATAACTGAGACGCTTTTACATTGAAAACAGTTTCCTTTGAAACAGTTGTAGGCAACATCACTTGCACACTGCATTACATAAAGCAGCAGCGACTTGCTTTGGCCCAGAGAGTATGTAGGTGTAGGGCAAGCTCACCCACCTTATCTCACTCTGAAAGGATTTTCTTTCTTTTCCATTCCAGGGCATGACTTTAAAGTGCAAAGGTTTGTCTTTGCACATTAACAGATGACAGTAGTGTGGGAATGACATACTCAGGCAAATATAAATAATTATTATGGTTTAATTATGCTGCCAAAATAAAGGGCAATCCTTAATATATCTAACCAATGAGTGTATTGATACATAAATGCTGTTACAAATATTTTACAAATCAAAATATGTTATGGGGAAGACAAAACAGCAGTAAATAAATAAAGGAACTTGTATTTAACCATAAAATTGTAAATCATCCACTTCATGATTTCATGAAAATTGAAATAAGGAACAAAACAATACCAGTATTTCTAGAGCATCTAATATACCCCAACTGCCTACCAGATAATTTAAACTTTTATTTTATTTTATTCAATGAACTTTGACCTACAAAAATGGGAGATATTCTAAATTAAGGAATAAGCAGGCATGTGGCGTTCATTCTTGGTATTTCACTTCTATTATCTTCATTTGAATTACAAACAACTTCTTGAGATTATCCAGTCTGTTGCTTTGCTTACCTCCTGAGGTATAAAACCTGCATAAAGTCACAGCCAACACTACAAGTTTAATATTTTCTTCTCAACACAAGACTCAAATGTGTATAGGCTTCATTGTATTTCTAAAACATAATTTCTCTTAGCAAAATTGCTGCATGAAACCGCAGAGGAATTTTTCAGATACTTGCCTGAAATCCAAGGAGCTTTTCACTCGGCTTAATGTGCCTCTGAAATTCACATTCGACGGGCTGTATCACTTTGATCCCATCTTCATAAAAAACATAGAACATATTCCCAATTCCCAGACCTTAGGAATAAAAACATAGTCAGAAGTTCAAAATGAAATTATCAGCAACCTTTACAGCAAAAAACCACATTGTCCCTCACACCCCAAGCAGGAGATCAATTTCTGAAGCCATGTAATCTTAACACAGCCAGCCATAGGGGGCCCTACGTACACCTGAGCACGCTTTGATATAACACAGGCATCCTGCTTCCCTCTTCCTCATCTGCGATGCAGTAGTATCTTGAATGCAATCCAATAAATGCTTCATATACTCTGACACATTCATTTTGATACATATATTAGATGGGAGTTTTTCTAAATGTACATACCAATAAAGAAATAAAAAATATTTTTGAAGAATATACGTTCCATGATTTTTATTATAAAGCACTAAGAAAAAACTAGATTTCATTCTTGGTACGAGTTGAGTTCATATAAAGATGGCAATGAAAAACCAAGCATTCAAGATTTTGGAGAACTTATGTTTTCATATGCTAAATGCTGTTGCGATGATTCTATTCAGTGTTCTTATGTATTCATTTTTATCCTACAGTCTGAGCCCAGGGTTGTTCTAATGTTGTACTTTAAATAAAAGTCAACGCAAGGTCTTAAGAGATCTCACCGTTTAAGGGTTTAAATCATACTATAAATTGCTTTTACACTGCAGATCTATTCTTGGGGCATCTCAGAAATGTGTCCCCCAACACAGCCTTGCAGCTTGGGAAGCAGGTGTGCAGCTGAGCTTAGCACAGGACTGTGTCGAGGGAGCGTTCAGTTATTCACATACATGTTTTCCCACTTTCTCTACTCGGCCCCGCTCCCAAGAGCCCAGCCCCAAGACGGATGCCTCACTCTCCGGCTTCACGTCCATTTGTTGGCTTTCCTTGGTTTATACAAATGTATGTGGTCCAAATATACATTACATAATTCAGTAATAACACCTACTCCGCAAAATATAATCAATAATCCTAAAATATTGGTAGTTGGAAAGTCAAATGAATGTTGTTTAACACGTTTAAATTTCAAAACAAATGTGTTACAGGAAAGATTATCTAAATTCAAAAACATTTATGAAACACATTTTTATCATGGAGAAACGTATTTTTTTTAAAGATTTGTTTTATTTTTATTGGAAAGGCGGATATACAGAGAGGAGAGACAGAGAGGAAGATCTTCCATCCGATTATTCATTCCCCAAATGAGCGCAAAGGCCGATGCTATGACGATCCGAAGACAGGAGCCTCTCCTGGGTCTCCCACGCGGGTGCAGGGTCCCAAAGCTTTGGGCCGTCCTCGACTGCTTTCCCGGGCCACAGGCAGGGAGCTGGATGGGAAGTGGGGATCCCATATGGGATCCCGGGCATGCAAGGCGTTTTGCACATGAAGCATAGCACTCATGTTAGTGGATGTATTTTATTACCTAATTATGCATCATCACCCTGGACAGCGTTACAACAGACGGGATAGTTTTGGAATTAGTGGAAATGGCATAGAAGTATACTCAAGTCACATGTTTTTTATAAAACAAATCTATTCGTTTTTAGCTGCTATTTGTAACTATATTTGTGTATAACAGAATGTAAATTCTATGCCCAAAGGATAAAGCTTAGAAAAACAACATGAGTACTGGCACCAAAATATATCTTTGATTTGTATCAGCCAAGCCTCTATGTAAATGGTAACATAAGAATGATTTTTGTGTTTTTTATCAATAACTGTCAATTTAACATTAGTGATTACTGAACACTGCGGCTGAAAACAGTGAGCAAAAACAATCATGTAGTGTCTGACTTTCCTTGTGTCAATTACACACCACATTTCATTTTTATTATAAAGCTCTGAATATTTTTAAATGAGCATGTCTACACTATCTACCTCCTCCAAATGCTGAAGGTGTTTGAACCTGACAGCTGTGGCGAGCCCAGAATGTTTGCAATGTTCCTTGAAACAGTTTCCTCATGAGGTTATTTTACCATATTCTGCACCCAACAGACAGTGGGATTTAATTGTGTTTTGTTGCTCTGGTAAAATTTCTAAGCAGTATTTTTTTAAAACCACTTCATCCATTCAAATCAGCCTCAGATTTTATAAATCAAAAAATTAATGAATTAATTGCTTTTACTTTTCAGGTTATTAGAGAAGAAAGGCATTATTATGCACTGTTTAGTTTTTTTTTCAATTTATCTTTTCAGTGGGGGTGTGACTTGGTTGCCTGGGAAAGCAACGAAAGCCTTGGGACCCTGGATCTGCAGAAGAGACCCGGAAGAGGCTCCAGGCTCCTGGCTTCAGATTGTCTCTGGTAGTTGAAGCCACTGGGTGAATGGATTAGCAGTTGGAAGATCTTCTCTATCTCCTCTCAGTAAATACAGCTTTCCAGTAAAAATAAATACTCAGGCTCTACTAGGCCCTGATGTGCATACTTCAAAAAGTAGTTTCTATGGCTCTCGGTTTAAAAATAATACATCTTTAATGTAAGTGAGAAAGTGCTCGAATAAGAAGCATTATTATTTTCTACTTTCAGTATTGCTGTTAAAGTGTCTGGAAGTCTTCTGATGCTTTCTACATTAAATATAAAATATCACTAGGTCAAGGTAAACAGACAAGACACAGCTGGGATGGAAACAAAACTGAACCTCAGGAACATATGCTTCACATTGGGATTCTAATCAAGAATACAGACCTTATTCTTTGGATGCTTAGCTAGCGTCTTAATTATTTCAAGGGGATAAAGGTGCATATACAGAAAATCCTCAGGCTTATCTGTAAGAATTACAATAATAACACTAGGAACTATTTATTGAGTGCTACATGTATTTAGAGAACAGTAAGATCTACTGAGCATTACAATGCATTTGCTGTTAAAAGCAAGATTATGAAACAAACACATTGAATCATTTGTTCTATATTATGTGTTGCCAAGTCTATATGTGAACCCAATCTTTCAAGTTTACATTTCGAATTATTATTTGACTTATACTGATGGATAAGGAGGTACTCCTGATGCTTACTCATATCTTAAGTTGGCATTTATTATGTCAACTATGTGAAGAGAGATTGTATGTCTTTGTCTTAGTTTTATGCTCTTGAAAGCACTTCAGTATGTTGTAATGAAACTTCTTGACTGTATCAATGATGAATGACAGTAATGGAAAGACAGGATATAATCAATGGAGCAACTAACAAAGGAATATTTACATTAATCAAGTGTAAAGCTAGTAGATCAAAATGATATAAAATGCAATAATTATTCAAAAAAGTAGGCAACAAGTCTAATAAAATCAACAACATAACCACATGATGAAAGAAATATAATTGAATGTATTACCTTCTTCTCGCCATAATATGTTAGCTACTGCAGCATGTTAAAAAGAAAGAGAAGTAAGCAAAGGGAAATGTAACCGCATAATAGTACAAATAATTTTTAAAGACATAAAAATTTCTAGCATAGAGTATGTAAAAATTCATAGAAGCAGCAGTAGTGAATTCAACAAAACTACTTTAGCAGAATGATTAAATGTTTTTTAAAACAGCCAATTTTTCTCTGAAATAAAGATTTTGTTAATAAATGAAAGCATTTTACGCATCATTGGAAATTAAGATACGTACACCAATTTTACTGAAACATATTTAGAAAAAGCAATAGTAGTTAAAATTACTTAATTGACAGTTTACTTAAAAATACTAAGCAAAATTATATTTACAAGAAATCTCAGTAATTGCATTATGCATGTTCCTAATCTAACATATTCTTTGTTCTTGCTAACACAAAATTCTGAACACAAAAGAATCCTATCTGTTGTACTTTTCAGTTATATATGCCTTGACTATTTTAAATTAGGTACAATAAAATGTAACTACATTCAGTATAAAATGGCAGAGCAAATAAAACTGCAGCCTGTTACACTGGAATCCCACATGGGTGCCAGTTCCTGCCCCAGCTGCCCCACTTCAAATCCAGCTCCCTGCTAATGGGCTGGGAAAGCAGCTTAGAAAAGCCCTTAAGCATAGACTGCAAAAGCAGCCAGATGGAGAGGGTTATGCCAATGTAAGTAGTTTCTGCACTGAAAACAAACACCGAACAAAGTGAAAAGGCAACAGGGGGATGGGAGAAAATATCTGCCAACTCTGCAACACAGAATCCATATCCGGGTTAAGGAAATCGACAGGCATTCTCGGAAGGATGAGATTCAAGTGGCCAGGAAATAGACGAAAGACAGTTCTTAGGGGAACGCTAATAACCACAATGAGGTGCCGCCCTGCCCTGGTGAGAATGGCCGTCATACGCGAGCTAACAGATAACAAGAATAAAGATTGGGGAGGATGTAGTTTAAAAGACGCCCTCCCATGCTGTTGGTGGGAAGGTAAACTAAAGCTGCTATTATAGAACATAGTATGGAGGTTCTTCAGAAATCTGACACGTCAGTTACCACATAACCTAGTCGTCCCATGGCTGGGAACTTATTCAAATGAAATCAAATCAGCATACTGAAGAGTTTTCTGCACTCTCACGTTTGTGATAATATACAATACCTAAGAGACGGAATTCACCCAGATGTCCATTAAATGAGGATAAAGAAAACGTGTTAGATACATACTAAGGCCACAATTAGGTCATACAAAAAGAATGACATTCTGTCTTTTGCAAAAGGAAACTATCATGATTAGTGAAAAAGATCAGTTCCCAAGATACAAACATATATTTTCTGTTATACATGGTACGTAATATAAAACAGAAAAAACAAAGCATAGAAATGAAATGGACCTCTTACAATTTAACTGTTGCTTTTAGCCCTTACTTTTACTTCTGTAGAATACTGGTCTTTCCATTTTTACTTTTCAAATACTATGGTTAGTGGTGATTTAAGCCTGTGATTATAGATTGTAATACAATCATAAATTTGCAAAATTTAAAAATGAGAGTAAAGAAGGGATTTGAAGGACAGAGAGAGGTATGGGAGGAAAGACGGTTATTCTCACGGAATCACACTTAGGAAACACATCAGATCTGTTCTATTAATAAAACATTTTTAAAGTGGACAATGCTAATTCATCTCTAGCATGTCCCTTTTTTCAAATAAGAATGCCATTTGTCAGTCGATTTTTCTTATAACATCAGGAGGCAGATGGCACGCATTGCAGTGACAAAGGGTTTCTAGCACTCGACTAGAAGTGGAGTGGTGACATTTCTTGGGGAAGTGGGACCTTCTGCACGTGGATACATGCCCATCCCACAGAAGGGCAACCGTTAGTTACCACAATGCAACTGACAGAAACGCCAAGCTCTGAACTGCATAGTGATCACCTAGGGTACACCTTGTGTGTAACTCAGGTATCTGGATTTTCCAAGTGCCTGCTGGGACTACTGCCAAAGGGAAAGAAATTCCTGCTTGTGCAAAGGGGGAAGACAGGATATCCTTTGAAACATCTTATGCAGACTTAGAAAAAGAAATAAAATCATTCTAGAATTGCAAAGAAAATATCATGAGTATTTTTTTTTCTAAATCTTTAAATACTTTCAGTATTCTAGAATGGTAGCACTCCTACAAATACGAAAATATTAATAAATAAATATTTGTTGTAAAGCAATGGGTATTTTACCGCATTTTCTGGTGTCAGCATCCCCTCACTCCCTCCATGCCTTAAAGGCTGCAAGAATATGAACGGTCAAATACAGTGTGCGCAAGGGCATGCCCGCGTGTCTGTGCAGTACGTACGCGTCTTTCTAGCAGAATCTTCCACAAAAAGAGAGGAGATGTCTTCGTCCACGCCTGCCTCATTCTTGGCAATACAAGTGTACGCTCCGGTGTCTTCATAGCGCACGTTGCTAATGTGAACTTCGCTGCCATTTGCTGCAAACAGACGGTAAGTGCAACTTGTCAACCACAATTCAGTGTGGGTACAACGCCTCCCAGTTACACAGTTAACATCCCTCCTTAGTCTGTCCTAATTAAACTACTTTCCTCCTCACTTCTATACCTTGGAGGCATGCCAGATTATTCCAGAAGTCTTCCAGTGTTTTGTAAATGTTGTTATCCTACTTCTGAAAGCCCAATACTGCATATAAAATGTTGTCTGTAAAACCGACTTCTACAATTTCCTACTGCATAAGTTGTCTATGAAGTGTCACATATTGAAAATCATAATTTCACTTATATGTGTATTGACAAGAAGTTCCATTTCATGGAAAAATTAACTGTTTCTAAATACAAATGCACTATTGTCATTCCCTAGTTCTTATGACCATGGAATTATGATGTGTGAACAGAAGAAAGATAAGGATACATGTTTGTTCACCAGAGTAGCAGTCTTTATGATGAAAACACATCTAATATAAACTATCGCGATATGGAAGTTTACACAGTCAGCATAAAACCTAATGGTTAAGAGGGCGCTTCATTCAACTTCTATTTCTCCATGAGAAAATACCTTAAGCTAAGTCTTGAAATGATGTGTATTCCCCAATCAGGGTATCAGTAAGCATTTACGATATAACATTGTGCTAAGTATTTCATATGCGTTATTCCTTAACAATGACAAACAATATTCACTCATGTACTGGGAAGCTGAGACTGCAGTGAGCTCTTCCAGGTCACTTGAAAGGTGAAGCTGGGTTCTCATTCTAACGACAGCTTAGTGTTGGTTATGTTCATTGTTTAGGTCTCTCTTCTTCCTCTTCATTTATTTCTGTGTGGAGGTCTGCATACTTTCTCTGTGTTTAGTGCTCGTGAGGTCCAAGAGTTCCATTGCAACAGCAGCATATGCTGCAAAATGGAGCGTGTCTGTCTGTGCTAACTGGTGAAGCTTAGCTTGAGGAAGGGAGGGGAAAAATGGCTTGGATGTCATGCCAACCAGTCTGTGCCTCCCAAGGCATGCTGAATGAGACGTGGAAAAACGCAGGTTATTTGCGGATGATAATCATCTCAACCATCTGAATCGATTTTCAACTTACTAATGTTTACATGCCACATCACCCCAACCATTGTCGAGAATCACTACTCTAAAAAAACGTCGTCAGATTTTCTGTTTTTTTTCCCCCTTTTTTTCTTCCAGAAAATAAAAAGCCCATAACAAATAAATCTGTGGCTTATCAACTCCTTAGCCAGGTCATGGCAACACTGCAGTACCTAGCTGTCTGGATAGATCTGCCGACACACAGATCCCTGCAGCCTGCCTTGGAGTGTCTGTATCTGACTGTGCGATCTGGCCCACAATCCTAGTTTCCTGGCTGTACAGGAAAGTAGCAATGGCTCCAGTAACCGAGCTCTGTCATTCTTGCAGGGTTCCCAGGGTGTGTTCAAGTGTACGGCTTTGTCTGTCTGGGCCTAGCTTCAGCTGGATGTGTGGGAGTCACCCAGCAAAAAGCAGGCAATTGCGGGCATTTGGGGCTCACCTACAACACACATGAACCTCTCTGCTCTTTCGCCTTATGTCTCTCAAGTAGTGAAAAAAAAAATTTAAAAATTGACTTTTTTTTAAAGATAGGGAGAGAATGATGTATTTATATCAACTTCTGATTTTACGTGCATTCTGGCCTCCTTCAAAGATCATATCCTTTGTATCCACATCCACATATTAATATCCAGAACTCTCTCATTTTTCTGAAATTTCACACCCATTTATCTCATCTGCTTATACTATATTCCAGTATCATCATGTTTTCCTAACCTATGTGCCCCAGTGCTTTGCCCCATGTCCCTAAGTTGTTACTTAATTTACATATGTTTCCATATATTTGAAAGGCAAAACAACGTGTACCAATCAGATACATTTGCTATTGATATAGAGTAAGAATAAAATTCTATGCCACAAAAAGAACTCTATTGATTATCTCAATATAAATTGAAGACATTTCAAAGCATGGGTTTAGGAAGGCAATGCCTATACAACAGACATTCTAGAGATGTGTCTTTTTGGTGTGCTTTGTCTCATATTCAAAAGCAGATTCACGCAATTTTAAAGCTAGTATAATAAACATATTCTATGTAATTGCTTTTGCACTATTAAATTATTTGACCATACAAAATTACCTATTTTATTTCATTTCCACATATTTGTGATGATTAAAACTTAATAATGATCTGATTGATCATGCATAACCAGCAGAATATTGTAATATAAAATTTTGCATGTTAGAATGAAATAGCTTAAAACCTTAAAGCAATGAAAAATGCAGCATAATCATTGCTTTTCTTTTTTTTTTTTTTTTACATTCTCCTTGCTTCATTACAAAATGAGTTGGGAAATATTCACTAAAAAATGGTGCACTACAAAATTCTAAAACACTTATTTAATGTCCTATTTGAACTGCTAAAAGTAACTTCTGAAATGTGTTTCTATTATGAAATCCAATTATTCTGCTCAATATATTTGCTATAATTCACATGAAAAACATTTAAATGATCCAAAATGCAGTATTTTACTTGACCAAAACAATGATAAATTAATCACTATGACAAGACTACTTTTGAAAATACTAAAAATTTTCATTTTAAATATAAATTATTAAAAATGTCCATTTCTCCCACAATCAAGACATTTTTTCACCACAATGAATCCTTCTCCTGCTTTTTGTTAAAAAATAATGGAAAATGATTCAGAAATACACTGAATCATTTCTACATGGTCTCTGAACTGAAAATAAATGCAAGGAAAAGGTACCTTGAAGTGTGAGTTGCTTGGACAGCTTTGGGGTAATATCAATTCCGTTCTTGAGCCAGCCAAGCTGAGGGTTGGGGATGCCCTCTGCGTGGCACCTGAGGCTGGCAGTTACTCCAGGTTCCCTAGCTTGGCTCTCTGGATAAACCCGGATGACAGGAGGAACTAAAAGGAAACAAAAAGAGAATTAAGGACTCATATTCAGAATCTGGTTTGCTAAATTAAACAGAAATTAAAATAAGAGAAATTAAACTATACCTTTAAATGTGCTAATTATTTCCAATAAATCTTAGCTTCTACTCTACAAAGTGTACAACTATGATTTGGAGAAATATTACCCTGCAACTGCAGCAGAGACTGTAAGACAAGTGTGAGATATATTGTTTCAGAAATTCAATGAATTTTTAAGGAATACTGGAGACATTTTAAACTGCTGAAGAACCAGTTCAAAGAGGTTATGTCACCAACATGGGAGAGCTGGGTTGAATGAGAGGCTCTAGCCTCTGAAATGGCTCTGTCAGCCACAGCATCTGCAGGTACCTGCGTGATCAATCAACAGATTGACGAACTCTCTCTGCCAACCCCTTTTTCAATTTCTCTGCCTTTCAGAGTAAAAGTAATCTAAAACTCTAAAAAGTGAAAAAGGCTAATATTTGTCAACATTTGACAAGTTAGGTATTTAAATAATTAGCTATTACAAAGAGAAGTATTAGCCATAAGGGAGCCAAAATTCCTTAAATTTTGTTGTCTAAATAAATAAACAATACATAAATGGAGAGCAGGGAAAGCTTGCCCTTATGTTATGCTTGGAAAGGAAGAAAGTAATTCCACTAAACAAAAGAATCTAAAACAAAATATTTAGCAATATATTTTATTAAACTATTGCAAAATGTTTATATTGAACACTGCAAGATGTTGAAAAGATTTTTTTTAAAACTTCATAAATTGGAATATACTTTCAATATATGAATTGAGAAACATTAACTGGTCCCAGGTCACAGGCACTGTAAATTTGTCTTTCAGATACACTTTTGAGAAATATTTTTTTTAAAGTATATCTTTTCACAACATTTATGCACATAGGACCAATGTTTTTTGGAAGACTCTTTGGAATAACCTAAAAACAAAGAACAATAATAAACAAACCAAACAGAAACAAAGAGACAGCATGACATACTCATGAATTGATTTAGAAAATGGATATCGATCAGTTTAATAAGGAAATAAAAACTTGCCCTTTAAGATCTCAGAAAATAAGGATAAAATGGGCTCCCGGTTCCATCCCTGATACTGTCCAAATGAGAACTGTCCTTTGCTCTCCTAGGCACTTCATCTCTATCGAATCACATCACTGGCAGAAATTCCTTGAAGGATGATTCCTAGATCGACTTTATTACAAGAACATACATATATTAGAAAGAATACTGTTCTATATAACCGGTGTTTCGTTCGGTATATTGGCAGTAAGTGGTGATCTGAAACAGAAGTGATTGGCATGACAACTGTTTAACCTCAATGACGAGCTCTGCGTTGAAAAGTAGGTTACTTTTCCCAGGATACATACTATGAAATATAAATGAGGATGGATGGCAGTCTAAATTAAAAAGTCAATAATCCTCCAGAGAACATCTTAAACCATTTTTGTTACAGTCGTTTTCAGTTAGGAAGTGCACCCTGAACTTGTCTCTTCCTTTCTGTTGGCAATGTGTGAGAAAGCCGCTGACGGAGACCACCGAAGGGCTTCAGGGCGCACGCAGAATCCAATTGACATGCACTGGCGCTAACACCTCCAAACAGGCCTCTCATATTTTATGCAAACGGTGATATTTAAAGGGAAGCGTTTGTACACTGAACATTTCTTCAAGATTCACTTGCTAAAGTAACGCAGGATGCCTTCAACTGACACAGCTGAACTCATTTGGCATATTTCGATATAATATCAAATTAAGTGAAATAATAGCAATGTCAAATAATAAGATGTATGCATAGCATGCATATACTTGTAAACATACACAAGTCTGTTAAATCAAAAAACACATGCCGGCACATTATTTTATTGAACATAGCCAAATGTTTTTCTTGTTTGCAATGAAAAAGAATAGAGGATACAAATTGATTAATGTCACAGATAAAATTTAAGAGAAGTATAAAGTCAGATATTCACTTTTTAGCTTTATGATAATAATTTACTAACATTGAGTGAACAATTGCTTATCGCATTATATTGTGCTGGTGAAGTCCCCTTCTTGAATTTCTGAGTTCCTTTATTAATTTTTACAAATCTTGTGTCTTAATTAGCATGTTGAGTGTGTACTGCATTCAGTTTTAAAAATTAGCCAAATGAAACACTAAAAGAAATACGTGCCTTGACTCATCCGGTACTAATCATAAAATACATACCACCTCCACAGAGGGAGCACTTGCAAATAGACTAGTTGGCATCCAATTTTAAGTTCTGTGTTACATATCTGGTCTTAATATCTAAGGTATACTGCAGGTCAAGTTAGGTAAATTCAATCAATGGATTAATTGTATTGTGGTGAGGTATTAATAATTTGACTGGTAATAGATACTACTCATGATATGTAAATATGATCAAAATAAAATATGTTTATGATAAAAGAAGCTGCTGCATTATTGCCAGAAAAGAGAGAAACTCTATAACCTCGGGCGCTCTGAGAGCCTGAGTTAGCTGAGACCGTAGGCGGAGCTGTTGACCCGATACAGTGACTGCTTTGTGACTAAAACCAAAAATGTAGGTAAGGTGATCAGGTCATTGTTGAACAAACAAAACACTGGCTATTTTTCCCTTTTTCTTGATGCCATCGTTGTGTATTCCTTTGAAGAGTTCTACGCTGGCTCTTCCACAAATTATTCACACAGCTGCAGAGTTAGAAAGGATTCGGAGAGAGCTTGAGGGTGAGAATATAAATTTGTGAAGTATTGCCGAGTCACAGAGGCGATGGGTTGCTCTGTTTGTTTTGTGCTTCCCCTTGTTGCCAAAGCAACTTTCCTATGAAAAACTACAGACTCCGTTTAATAAATATTTTAAATGCTACTGAGCTTGCCCAGTGCCTTTTGTCTCTGACATTATTAAAGCCATCAATTTCTCTTTAACTTTGTCCCAAAGCAGTCTTTTTACATTCATGACTTGCACACTGCCTCTTGTCAATATTACAGAACTTTATGATCACATTACTGTAGACTTCGTGAAAATGTAGAGGCTGCCACAAATGTTGGAGGCAAATTTAAATTAAGAAGAATATCCTTATGGTCACGTGTTCTCTTGACTTCTGTATTTTATCTGCCTGTCTGTCCTATGGCATTGTAAGTTAGTACAGCTTTTTAATACTCTTTGGAAATGGACAGTTAATCATGTTGTAATTAACTTAGATTCATTAATCTTAGATCAACTGAACTTAATATTTTAATCTCCAATGTCAATGTCAAAAGCCATTATTTTCAGAAGAGTGATCTAAAATGCAACGGAAAATACTACAAGAGCCAACCAGATAGGAATCACTAAGATTTGCTCTCTAAACAAATGTAGAAAAAAAAAGCAATAAAAATAACAAAATAAATTAATGTATGGCTCAGCCAAGGGGAATGCCTCTAAAAAGAATTTAAAAATACTGATTTTGCATTGGTTACATATATTTGAGTGATTTGTCAGAAACCTAAAAGTAATTATTTAATATCAGTGTATTAATATGGGGGCCCCATATTAGACACGTTAGGTGTCTTCCATACTTTGCTATCCAGAAATTATGAATTTTTGACTGCGACAAAGGTCATGTATGAAACTTTGCCAGAGAGTAGTAAATGTATGTAATTACACTAGCCAATAGCAACAAAGCAGTGATCAATGCTTTGCCTGTTGACTGTTTTTTGTGAATTTCCAGCATTTGTTCTTTTAGCGAAAGAAGAGTAAGTGAAAGGAAAAAAGAAAACAGGGACGAGGTGGAGAAATGGAGAAGCAGAAAGGAGGGGAGACAGAAACACAGGTAATATTTTTAGAAGGCATGTACTTTGAAATTCTGACAAATTACATTAAATTTGTCATTTAAAAGGTGTATAATTATTTTAACATAGCATCTTCTTACCTAGAAATAGATGCTCCATTTATTTTCATTCAATAAAGTGTTACGTTTTTTCTTAAATTATAATGTTTACCTTTTCTACTTTTTGCTTATACACTTCTTTTTTTGCGTTTAATAAAAAAACATGTGTTTTGTATGCAGTTGTCCATTGATATTTGTGAGTAATTGCTTTCAGGAACTCTGGGAAGACCAAAATCTGTAAATGCTCAATTCTCTTACATAAATACTAAATATTTACATAGAATCTCTGGATATTCCCTATATGATTTAAATCACCACCAGATTACTCATAATATCCACAAATATTTGTTACACTGTTGTTTAGAAATAGCTGACAAGGGCAAAAAAAGGCCTGTACCTTTTTGTATATTAAATAAATAGTTCCACACGCAGTGATTCTTACGGTGAATTTCAATGAAGCTGCAAAAACTTTGATGTACAGGCTTGTGTGTGAACATCATTATTTTTCTTTTCTCTAGAAAAAGTGCACAGGAATTTTTTTTTTACATTTGCATATTTCCTTGGATGTCAGCTTTACGGAGTTGACAGATGCACTGAATGAGGGTGTGTGTGTGTGTGTGTGTGTGTGTGTGAAAGAAGAATCTTACATCACTTGGTTCACTCCACCAAACAGAAACCCAAATACACCTGCCAAACTAAAATTATAGACTGATATCCTTACAAACGTAGATACCACAAGAAAGCATAAGTAAGAAAATGCAACTCCACATCAAAGCATGACACATCGCGGTCAAGCAGGGATTTACCACGCTGATACAAGGAGGGTTTTCCATTTATAACTCCGCAAGTGTAAGATTCACATCAACAAAATGAAGAATAAAAACCCTAACATTTCGGTGGTTGTAGAAAGGGTACTTGATAAGATCTAACAGCTTCATTCCTGGACTCCAACTCCTTGTTAAACCTCATCCTGGGTGACGGCGAGTGACGACTGGGTCCTCCCACCGCAATGACAGACTTAAACATTTTGAGTCCCACCATCGTGGGCATTTGGGAAATAGGCCAGCAGGTGCAAAACCTCTGTCTCTTTCTCTGTCCACCCAA